TAGTATGTTCGCTTGCGTATCTCGATGCTTTCTGCGCAGCTGGTGAAGTGCGGGCCCTACTTATGATGTGCTGCAAGATATCATGTGCGGATCCAAGTACTTCTATATGTATTGGCCATAAACTTTGAGCGTACTCATTGATACTTAGTCAATCTAGTGAACGAAACTTGGTGGGTACCTCTGACAGTCGGTTCATGGGTCCCTCCATCCTTGAACTCAGTCATTCCTGGCTCTTCAAGAAAGAACCCAGTGATGCGGAAAGGTGTCCCACAGGTTTTCACATCTCCTTCATCCAACATGACAGTGACATTATCCGCAAGGACAAACTCACTCATCATCGCCGGAACATGATCCTTGGCCATACTCGTAGGGTTGCATCTCGCCGCCGGCTGTTAGCTTGAAGATGTGATTATGGATCTCTGTCGGGTTGATGTCTGCGATAGAAGTGGGCTGAGCCCAGCATCCTTGAATGGATTTGATCCCCAGTATGATTTCGTCTTCCTCAATCTGGAAGTGCCCGTGGATGAAATGGGGTCCAAACATTTCTGGACATTGAAACATGCAAAGAGGCCAGCAAGCTCCTGAAGATGAATCTTCTGCACTTGCGGCTGGTCTTTATCATCTGACTTTATCATCTGATAGAAGATGTGATTGTTTCGGTGTGGTTAGCGCACAGCCAGTCTAATTGCAAGTCACTGGGATTAGCATACGCCCGCGAGGACTGTACAAGGTCCTTAATGGTAAAAAGAACGTGAAGACCAGGGATAACGATGGGAGCAGTTACAGCAACTGCCCTGATGGAAATGAGCTTGGGAAGCAGTTACTGATTGTGAATGCACCAGTTGATGGAGAGAGAATGAGAAGAGAGCGAGATTCTCTTGATAACTATATATAGGAGGTCTTTTAAGTATTCATTCAGCACTTATCAGCTGTCGAGGATGAGCAGTGTAAAGCCCCTCATACTTCCAACTCCTAACCCATTTGTATATGCCAGCAGTGATGCCACCTGCAGCTACCTCGTCATGCGGAAGTTCGGAAGACTTGGATCATGTTTGGGGATAGTAGATGGGTTTCTTTGGCAGCTTTTATGTCTAATTTTGGAACTATAGAAATGGTCCTGCAACGCCATGTTGCATCAATATTTTAGTATGCATG